ACGACTTTAACGCGAAACTCGTATGGCATATAGTCCTGACAGAAATGATAAAAATCACTACGACTAGTAATAATATTCAAGCGACTCATTTCTTTCAACAGAGCCTTCAATTCGACCTCATAATTTTCATATTTCTTACGGCGCTCAATAACAGAGACTATCTTTGCTAATTCTTGTACGAATGTCTCGGACTTGACCCTCGTCGCCAATTTGTACTTCGGCTCCATACGCTGCCACAGGAATCTATAAAGACGATCTGTGGCCCAATACTTCGGACGAGGAAGCTTCGGTGCTTTATACGGCTTGCCATTTACTAGGAATGCCTTGTGCACTGCTTTCGTAGGATTCGCGGGCGGCTTCTTCACAGCTAGTCTGAGCGCAACAGATTTTGCATGCTGCGCCTTTAACGCTGACTCTTTGGCGATTTTCATTGCGGCCATCTCGCGATTCTTTATTCTTTCCAACTCCGCCTTGACCTTCTCCATCTTCTCAGTATTAAAGATTTGCGACTGCGACGCGCGTTCATTTGATTTATTCGTCCTTGTCGAAGCTTGCTTTACTTTGAAAAAATCATCGATCTTTCTTATCGATGTTTCTTGTGTCTTGGGTGAATTTAGCTTACTAGCTTCGAAAGAAAGCTTACTAGCTTTCCTTGGCGTTTTAACCGGTGTATTGCGATGGCTCTGAGACTTGTTCAAGTTATCTCGTCTCCCTACTCCATCCTCTTGGCTGGTCTTACTCGAGCTCGGCACACTTTGATTTATCGCCTTATTGCCTGTTTCGGCCTTTGTCGAAGTGGGTTTTCGTTGATTTGTTTGCATCCCAGAACCTGTATCTTCATCTTCGGTTATTTCTACATCACTTAACAGGATAGTGCGTTTGTATGATCCTTTACTTACGCCAGTTTTAGAAATTCTCGTAGAACTTATTACCTGTGAAGCGGAGATATCATCTATATTGATCTCAAAGTCCGCATTGCCTGATATCTTAGATAGACTTCTTAAATTTTTACTCGTCAAACGAGCTTCCTTGCCCGAGCTTGAGTTGAACAATTGCTTTGCTATACTTGACTCATGTTCTTTATTTGCATCATTATCAATAACTTCGTGTTCTTCTACATTCATGCGTTCTGGCATTTCAGACCGATTTCTCAAACCACGCGTCAAACGAGTTTTCTTAACAGCTGATTTAGACAATTGCTTAGA